AACCGCTCGCGGCTATGGGCACTCCCCAGAGGGAGAGAGAGAAAGCCCCCCCCCGTGGGGCATCTCACACCACAATCCCCTCTCCGTTTCAGTGGAATTTGGGGCATGCACATACATGTAGCTGGCATGGTTTTCAAGCTGCTAGGGCCGAGATTCAAACTGCAGCCGCAATGTGGGATCCAGGTCATTTAAGTAGCGGCCTGTGGGGCTGGCCCCCGTGTTCCTGAGAAAGAGTGGGTGTTTGCGTCACATTTCCAGCTCTGCTTTCGGCTTAAACTCCACGTCCAGAGCATGCGTATTTTTTCCATGTTGTTTCAAGCCCCTGACACAGCCTCTTTCTCTAAGGTAATAATAGCCGTTTTGTTTCACGGCCTACACAAAGCCTTCCTAAGACTCAGAGAACAGGATTTGATAGGAACGAGGAGAGGAAGGTTCTAGGCAGAAAGAACAGCTGTGTAGACGGGGAGGTGACCTGGACCTCGTCGGCTCTGCGGGCCTGTGGGTGTCGCAGGCGCATTGGGCTGAGTGTGGGCTGGCCTCGGACAGGCGATTTAGGAAGGCAGCAGGTGCAAGGCTGCATGGTGCAGCGAGGCTGGCACGGGCCGTGTGGGGCTGGATGGAGCTGTGACCTTGATGCGCTGAGTGGTGGTGGATTCCAAGGCCTCTGCAGTGCGGGGCTGAGAGTGACGCGCCTTCCACACACAAGCAGGCCACCCTGCAGGCTGTTAGCTGGAACTTCAGGACTGAGTTTGGGACATGGGAGTTCAAGGTGGCCGAAGGGATGGGAGTCGGGCGTGGGGGCAGAGGCAGCAGCGCTGGAGGAGAGCCTGGGATTGCGCCGGAGGAGTGGGCACGTGCATCTCCCAGGGAGAGGGCCAAGGAGAGGCCCGGCTCCTCCCTTTGGAGAAAGACAAGGAGGAAGAGGAGGACCCTCCAGGACAGGCCTCCTCGGGAGGGGCCTGAGTCTAGTATGGGGTGGCGGGCTGGGTTAGGGCCTTGTGGACAGTACACCTGTGCAGTCTGGGCTGGTGGGCCAGGCTGGAGCCTGTGGGGACAATGAGCCCGTGCAGCCAGGGAGGAAGTGAGGATGGGAGGAGGAGGGCTATTGAAGAAAAGCAGCCAGTGAGACGGGGCCGTGCCAAGGGCAGGGGCAGAGAGTGCAAGGGGGTGGCTACGGGTTCCCCAACTTCTCCCCAAGGCACATGGGGCCCAGGGCCTCAAGCCTCCCATTTGCACCCAGCCGGCAGGTGAGGGGGAGGGTGGCAGATTGGAGCCCACAGTGGCAGGAGGAGGCGGGCACTCCCACATGACACACGCCCAGCTGCTCTCAGGAGAGGGGTGGGCATGCTCGGCCAGCCACGGGCTCAGTGCCCAGCCCAGGCCGTGCCTCCTGGGTGCCTGCAAGGTGGGAGACAGCAGGCTGTTCCCCTGCCAGGAGGGAGGGCTCACAGCCACACTGGAGGTTTGAGGGGACAGGAGGGTGCCTAAGGCGTGCTCAGGGAGCCTCGGCCACAGACACTGCGGGTACAGGGGTGAGGGAACTCCAGCCCAGTCTTTATGGGGCCCGGCGTCCAGCAGAGGCTGGTGGCTGGACGTTGTCCGCCTGTTCCCTGTAAGCTGTGACAGCTTGTGAAGCCCGAGTGCAGGGCCTGGGAAAGCGGGTGGCATGTGTGGGTGACGTGCAGGGAGAGCGGTGGGAAGGGGTGAGCAGGGTGACTCAGCTGTAGCGACGTAGCCGTGGACAGCAAGTTCCCGACAGTGACCCAGAGTCCCTCAGACCAGCTCAGGGACCGGGGTGGGGCCACAGCTGGGACTGGCCTGGGCGGGCTGGGCCACCCCTGCCAACCCCCCCATCTGTCTCTCTGCACGTCTCTGTCCCTGTCACACCCTCTGTCTCTGCCTGTCTTTTCCCTGTCACTGTCCATGGCATGTCTGCAGCAGGGGCTCTCCCTGGGCCCCTGCTGAGCCCGGGCTCTGCCCAGCCAGCCGGACAACCTCCAGCTGCCAGCCTGCCTCACCCGCCCTCCCGGCCTCCAGGGCAGGCCCGAGTGCCAGCTGCGAAGGAGCAGCCATCCACGGTGGGGGGTTGTTGTGTGATCCTGGGACCACGAGCGAGGCCAGGTCGCGTCGGAAGGGGTGTTCCCTTGGCGTGCTCTGTCAGACTGGGCCACGGCGTGCCCGTGCAGTGCCCTCAGTGCCGTCGCCTCTCCAGGTGGCCCCTGTCCCTGGCCTCGCTGTCCCTCAGCCTGCTCTTCCTGGCGGTGAACCTGACCTGTGCGCTGCTGGTCAAGACGGGCCGCGGGGAGCGGACGGCTGTGGTGTCGGTGCGTGTGGCCGTCAACGACACGCTGTTCGTGCTGTGTGCCGTCTGCCTCTCCGTCTGCCTCTACAAGATCTCCAAGATGTCCTTGGCCAGCATCTACTTGGAGTCCAAGGTGAGCGTGCGTCCCGGACCCTCCCGAGCTCCCTGTGGGGACAGGCCCCGCCCGCAGGCAGCACCCCATGGCGCTCACCCAGCTCCCCACCCCGGCCCCCGCGCCAGGCGGGCCAAGCACAGCCGTCTGCAGTGAGCCGCCCTAGCCGGCTCGAGTGAGTCGCTGTGTGCGGGCGACAGGCCACGTGTGGGGTCTGGTTCACGGATGCTGTGGTGTGAGGGCCGGTGGGACTGCCACCGCGGCCACTTCTCCCCGTGGCCTGTCTTGACCAGCAGCGCACTGGTCAGGGTCACCGCCAGGCAGAGCAGGTGATGGGGAGCGAGGCCAGGGATGGGGCCACCTGGAGAGGCGACAGGCACTGAGGGCACCACACGGGCATGCTGTGACCTGGTCTCTAGGAGCTGCGGTCGGTCCTGGCACTGCTGGTGACACGGGTAGCAGGCGCTTACCAGACGTGCCCGTGCTGCGGGCTTCATGGCACGCCGGCGTTGCCTCTCTGCTCTCTGGGAGCAGCCAGGGAAACCGAGGCACGCAGCTCAGCAGCTCGCCCCAGCCCTGCCCGAGGCGCAGAGCCCGGCTTTGTGGCGCCCCTTTCTGGACATGTGGCTTCCCGGCCCGCCCTCCGGGTAGTCCACACCAGAGCCCGGCTGCCCGTGAGAGGCACTGGTCGGGCCTCCTCGAGCTCCCTGCTTCTGAGGCCCGGCCTGGCACCCAGCCTGCGCCCTCAGCCACCGGGCGTGCACATGGCTTTGCTCGGCAGACCGGGGACAGCTCTGTCTCAGAGGAGTCCTCAGCGGTGCCCGCTAGCGGAACATCTGTGCCTCGAGCTCCAGTAATTCACAGCCTTTCTGGAGTGAGGGCGCCCGAAGTCAGTGTGGCGGGCACCTTCCCAGGCGCCATTTCCGACGCCTCTTGGACTTCCTGTTTGTCGTCTCCCACTAGGGGCTGCCCAAGGCTTCTGGAAACAGCTGCAGTTCTGTCAGGAGGGGTTCAAGCGCAGCTTGTCAAAACACCAGGTCGCTCTCCCAGTCGCACACATGCTGGTGCAGCACGACTGGCAGTCACCCCTTCTCGGGCCAACAGCACCCCACTCGGGAAGCCACCGCAGCTCCCAGGCCAACCTGAACGCGCTGGGGCTGGTTGCGGGTGCCTGTAGTCCTCGTCACCTGCGGCAGGAGGGCGGCACAGCCGACGCTGTGGGAGCATTTCTCCCTGCCCCTTGGTCCCCGAGCTGCTGTCCCAGACCATCTACTGTCCCCGAGCCTGGGGCCTGGCCAGGCCTACCCTGCGGGCACGCGAACTGGAGGATCCTCTTGCCGCGGAGCAGTGGCAGCGAGAGATTAACACCCCCCACCCGCCTCCTACGGCCCGAACCTGGGGCAGGTGG